TGCTAGGTGATTGGATGTCTACGATGATATGTATCATAGAATGGTTAAGGTATATGATAAAGTTATGGTTGAGACCTTAATTTAGAGATGATTTCTTTAAACTTATAATGGCTTACAAAAGAGGATTGTGTCATTATGGCCCCCATGCAAGATGTAAGTCATGAGGTTTGGTCTATGAGATTAAGACTTAGAAAATAATGCATGTTAATTTTTAACTTGTAATGCAAGTAATGCAATATGACATGGCTTGGAGCCTAAGTTATTGATATGCTAAGAAAAATGCAAGAAGTGTTGAATCTATTTATGCTGGTCCTAGATGTGCCAAGCATGTCAATTAGGTACAAGTTATAGGGTAGATTTCCCCAAAGTTAGAGTGCAACCCGTAGGGAACCATTTTTTGTTCTGGGAAGCCTAAAGCGCACATTAGAGCGCTAAAGTGTGCTCCCGATATGGAGAACTGTGTGCTAAAAACGCGCTAATTAATTTGGAGGCAGTAGCTACCCACCTCAAATGCTAAAGTGCGAAAAAAGAGGGCACTAAAGTGTGTTGCTAAAGGAAGAAAATACTTGTTGTGCGTGCTAACACGCCCTAGAGCGAGCTATAGCGCAAAGCATGGGAAAATTTACGTGTAGTAGTGCGCTCAAAGGCATTAAAGCGTGTTGCACTAGACACAAGATAATGAGTTATACACCATGCTAGTCTATGGGGGCTTCATGATTGATGGTATTAATTCAATGTAATATGTTTCCGCATAAAGTGTTATGATTACGTATTTGAATTATGTGAGTACGGAATTAATGTTTCAGCAGAAAAAAATAATAGAAAAAGTTTATCCATAATTTTAATTCAACCACTGTGATTGTAACTGCGCTTAATATCATATGTGTAAAGAACCAATTCAACCCAAAAGCTTAAACTGTTGGGTGAGGCTACATTAATGGTTTTATGTATCTCGACATGCCCCCTCACACGAGAGCCCATTGGGCTTAAAGGGTGGACAATGCACAGGCCCACCTACCTGTGAGAAGAAAGAAATTCCACTAGAAAGAAAGTGGGGGGCGACGATGATCGACCAAGTCAACCCAAAAGCTTAAGCTGTTGGGTGAGGCTACATTAATGGTTTTATATATCTCAACAATATGCAATGTTAACAAACCGATCTGGAACGGGGTGTCACAGGGACAAGGTTGAACTTCAAGTGGATGGTATTAATAGGACCCATGAGAATGGGGTGAGAGTTAGACGGTTGGATATCTATTTGTTAGTGCTAATAATATAAACTATTAAAAAGGCTTTCAACCAATACTTTTTGGGTTAAAATGGTTCTTTACATGATATCAGAGTTTCAGTAATCACAAGGTCACGTGTTCGATTCTCACCATCCTCTACTTTCTAGTAGAATTAAAATAAGCACAAGGTAAACCAACAATTGGGCTTGTGTAATATCCTCGCTTCAAACCCAAAGGGCTCTTGCGTGAGGGGGTATGTTAGAGAATAATATAAATCATTAAAAAGGCCCTCACCCAATACCTTAAGGTTTTGGGTTTAATTGGTTCTTTATAGTTAGGTAATTTTTAGCTGTTAGGTTATATAGTCAAAATCTATCAAGGGCATAAATAGCATAAATTGTATAGGAGGTAGCATTTGAGAATTTAGATGTGAAAATTTTGAAAGAGGCAACTCTTTGTGAAAGGGAAACCATTCTCTCTCCTTTATTGTTTGTGTTTCAGGCATCAATAAGAATTTTTCCTTTTCCTATCTATCTTCAATACCTTTTTCTCTATTCTAATTTGCTGGTTCATAGCATATTCTTTTTTTTTTCGTTATTTTTCCATTTAAAACTTTTCTGTCTCTTTTGGAAGAGATCGCTTGGTGTCTAAGTATCTTAGTGAAAATTTACAATTAAAAATTAGAGTGCTGATATTTTTATGCTGATTCATGTTTAAGGCATCAAGGGAAAGTGTTCGCCATCAGATATCTAATGGTGCTCAACTGCTTTCTGCATCCAGAGGGATCTCTCAACAGGCATTTGCTCTGATAATTGATGGAAAATCACTTGCTTATGCTCTAGAGGATAATATGAAGAACATGTTTCTAGAGCTTGCAATTCGTTGTGCATCTGTTATCTGCTGTCGCTCATCACCAAAGCAGAAGGCACTGGTATGTTTTAAGCTTATTCCATGTTTCTCCCCACTATTCGACATCATGTCCTCTCTTTTTTTTGGCTGATTCTGATAATAATTCTGGTTAGCTTTTAAAATCATTTTCTTTTAATTGGTTCCTCTCTTAAAAGGTTACTAGACTGGTCAAATCTGGAACTGGTAAAACAACATTAGCTATTGGTGATGGAGCTAATGATATGGGAATGCTTCAAGAAGCAGATGTTGGGGTTGGAATCAGTGGTGTTGAAGGCATGCAGGTACTCAAAAAATTGACAAACTTTTCATTTTGTTTTTTGTTTTTCTTTAATTGATTTTCACTTCCATAACCTGTTTAATTTCAACTTCTTATCTATCTCACCTAGGCCGTTATGTCTAGTGATATTGCAATTGCGCAGTTCCGGTATTTGGAACGATTACTTCTTGTACACGGACATTGGTGTTACCGTAGGATGTCATCAATGGTATTGCCACTCATACTGGATCTCAACATTCTATTGATTTAGGCCCTGAAAGATGATCTGATCTGAAACCTTTAGTATTTATATTAACTTGTTCATTCTTTCGACAGATATGCTATTTTTTCTACAAGAATATCACATTTGGCTTCACTCTATTCTTATATGAGGCGTATGCATCATTCTCTGGACAGCCTGCATACAATGACTGGTTTTTGTCTCTCTACAGTATCCTCTTTTCATCACTTCCAGTGGTAGCCCTTGGGGTCCTTGATCAGGATGTATCTTCCAGGTACTGCTTGAAGGTAAGCTTAATGTTCCACATCTAATATGTTGTCATTTTCGTATTAATAATTGACAAATTGAAAATTTCACTATCGTCCTGTAATAAATAGCATGCTGGTTTATGAAAAAAATGAGAGAACCCACCAAAAAAAAAAATATTCCTTACTTTATACGATTACATGTGTAAAGAACCAATATAACTTAAAAGCTTGGGTTATTAGGTGAAGATACTTTTGTTAATTTTATATTATATTATTCTTTAATACACCCTCTCGCACCAAGAGTCTTGTAGGATTGAAGCATGGAAAATCCTTAGGCCTACCACACTATAAGCCTATTTTTTTAGGGTTTGAAATATGGACTTTTAAAATTCAAGCTCACCACACTAAGAGCCCTTTTTAGGGTTTGAGACACGGAAATTAAACTTTTTATTAGAAGAATGAGAACGGTATGAATTGAAGTCTAAACCCCAATCGTAGAAGCTCTGATTCCGTGTGAAGAGGGAATTTGTGAAATGCTTGAGGAATGCCTCATCAGTATCATTCAATTGATATACAAGGATTTGCAATCACTAATATCAGGAAACCAAACCAAATCAAAACTGAAATATTTAGAAAACTTCCTATTTTACTTATTTCCATAAATAGAAGATATTATCTAGATATTATTCAACAACATCAGTCGTACATTATACCTTGTTATTTCTGTTTAATGTGGCAGTTTCCAATGTTATACCAAGAAGGCGTACAAAATGTCCTCTTTAGCTGGCGTCGCATACTCAGCTGGATGCTTAACGGGTTTATTAGTGCCATAATGATATTCTTCTTGTGCACAAAAGCAATGAAGCTTCAGGCCTTTGATAAAGAGGGAAGAACAGCTGGAAGGGACATGTTGGGAGCAGCAATGTATACTTGCATTGTTTGGGTGGTAAACTTGCAGATGGTAGTTTCTATAAGTTACTTAACCTTGATACAACATATTTTCATCTGGGGTTCCGTTGCACTTTGGCATCTTTTCCTCTTGGTATATGGATCAATGCCTCCAAAGATTTCTAAAAATGCTTACAAAATCTTCATTGAAACTCTCGCTCCATCTCCTTCCTTTTGGACTCTGACATTATTTGTGGTGATCTCAGCACTTATACCATACTTCTCATGCTCAGCAATTCAGATGCGGTTCTTTCCCATGTATCACCAAAAGATACAATGGATAAGGTATGAGGGGAAGAAGAACAATGATCCTGAATAGAAAATACTGGGATATAGTGAGGCAAAAATCATTGAGGCCAACAACTGTGGGTTTAACAGCATACATTGCAGCCAAGGGGTAACCACAGTAAAGACAGAACTAATAACATAGATGATGTATATATTTTTACATGTTCGTTATTTATGTAAAGGATGTTTTGTAGAGTTACAACTATTTAGATTGGGAAACATTATATACTGAGTGTGTTCTATTCTGGAGATTGAGGTGGGAACTGTTGAGATTGAGAGATAGGGTGTGTTCTATTCAGTTCAATATACTGAGATTTTAGTTGAGAATTGTAATCTATGCTACAATGTCCATGACATGTCTTATTTATTTATTTATTTTTGAAGCACATAATATTATAAAGTCAGTGTCTTAACTAATTTGAATCGAACCAAGTAAGAGGGCAAGTTCTCTCTGTATTTTCTCCATTTACAAGAGTCGAATACAATTAAAAAAAATATTGAACTTTATCATTGGGGCCAAGTATCCGGGTTATGTAACATAACTAATTTGAATTATTATCAGGAATGTAGTGATTTCTAGAAAGCTAGTGTTAGCTTGTTGGTACTCGAAATTGTTGAGTATGCATGTTTCTTGATGGTGTCAATAGAGAAATAGACGAAGTTAAAGAAATTTTAGGCAAAAAGCCCCAATATGACAGGAGTTTTTCTCCAAAGTAAAGAGAGAGGAAGCATGAAGGAATATCATAATCAAAAGACAACATAAAGAATAAGAGGGCCCAATCTTATTGGAATCCAAAAGACCAGATTCTGATAAAGGGTTTTTTTTTTTTTTTGAAAAAAAAAAAAAACCATTGTGTGAATACTCGGGAAACATGGTGGAAAATCTATGGTAAACCTATAAATTGGAGAGAAAGGGAGAAACTCGTGCATTACAGGTCTGCTGAAATACTCACTTGAGCTGACAATTTCACATTAGCTCTGCTGCAAATCATATCTTTATTTCCTTTGCCTTCGGATGGGAACATAATAAACATTTAACTGTGCTAGTAAACATAGAAACAGAAACAGAAAATGAACTGGCAGCCGCTCATGTTACATCAATTTCATTAATTCAATGGGACATGATGGAAGTATATTAGGTTGATGAATTCACTCCCAAGAAGAGAAAATACAACGGGTGCTCAGTATACAGCAGATCAGTAAATAAGATTTTGTTTACTGATTTACTCAAACATGACATACAGAAGATAACTTATGAAAGAATTTTATCCTATAACGTTCTCAAAGACTTTACTAACACAAGAACAGAACAAACGGAAGTTACACGTGAACTGTCTCCAAATCAAATTCCACTCCTAATCATTTTCCTATGACATCGCAATTAACCATGTTTCTTGTTTTTTTTTTTCTCACCAGTCACTAGCTTTTTGTTTCACTGCTCCCTGAAGGTTGCCTTCGTATATCAAACTGGTCTACAAACTCTAAAGGATTAACTGTCTCATTTCTGATCCTTTTGATTTTAGGGCTTAACAAGCCACGGTGCCTAAACCCATAAAGCTTGAGCACCTGATTATCTGCAAAATTGAAAGCCCTCTCCATGCTACCGAGGCACCTCTCCACAGGGTAATCACCATAGCTCCCACATGGCTTACAGCCCACAAAATGTGTAACAAACGGCCACCTCTCATCTCCCAAACCCGGATGAAACTTCTCCATCATCTCTTCGTACCGATCAACCAACCCAGCCCAATAACCGTGCAAATAGTAAGAATTCTCAAGAAACACCTTATTCATCCATTGTTCCTTCTTGGACAACAACAAATATATCAATGCAGATTGATCATCCGCCTCAAAAGCCGGTCGTCCCTTGAGATTCGCCGTCAAAACCTTGCCGGCCTCCTCGCGAATCGGACCCTTAGGGCCCATGGGAGCCCAATCATCAAGCAAATCCAATGACCACTGGCAATTCCTAAACAGAAAGCTTCCAGTATTCACAGCAATCCAAGACTTCTGCTCAAACAACAAATCAGGGTAACCATGAAGAACAAGGTTATAGTTATCATACTTAGACAAGGGAAGCTCAAACACCATGTCAGTGAAGAATGCATCACTATCCATCCACCAAATCCACTCAACCTCAGGGTGAGACAACATGAGTCTCCGAATCATGGGCAATTTGGCCCAATAACCAGCAAGTTCCATATCCAAATGAGCCAAATTATACACAATTTCAATGCCATGCAATCTACAATAATCAATCTTGTTCTTAATGGACTTCAACAAGTAATGATCACCAATTGGGTTATCACAGGGTTTGGGAGGTGACCCAGTTAGAAGCAAGATTCGAGCTTTACCTTTGATGAAATTGGGGTATTCAGGGTTCTGATCAAGCCAAGCCTTGCGCTCTTGGTCCCAGTTTTGGATCTTGGGGCCGAGGGTGTAGGTGGCATTAGGGTTCAGGAATGTCTCGTCCGGATCGGAGGGGTCGGCGTCGGATCGGATCTCGGCGAGGATCCGATTCGTTTCCTCGACGATGTTCTGGTTGACTGCGTCAGCCTCGGAGGTTCCGAGGTTGACGCCGATGGTGCCGCGGAGGACGAGGATGGTGACGAAGCCGCAGAGGATGGTGATCTTTATGTTGTTGAATGTCTTGTGGATCTGCCGGCCACGTGGCAGGGACGATAATGCGCCGCCGCGGGCTCTGGTGGTTGTTGTGGTGGTGGTTGGCAAGCCGGCGCTGTTTGTTCTCTTCTGAGCTGAGAGGTTCTCTTGCCCCATCTCTCTCTCTCTCTCTCTCTCTCACACACACACACACTCACACTGTTTCTCTCTCTCGCTGGAATAAGAAGAATGAATGGGGGAGTGGAGGGGAGGCAGGTTAGCTAAGGGCTAATGTTGGATGGTTATGGTGATGGAAATTGGAGAGAGTGTGGGTGAGGGAGGGAGGGAGCCTTTGAGATGGAGGTACAGGGACAACATCTCCTTGTGGTAGGGTGCTCCTGTATAAACTCGATTCTCGAGAGCACTTAGAAAGACATGTGTCCCACACCGACTTTCTAGGGTTTTTATTTATTTTCCTTTTTACAATTTTTTTCGTTGGGGCATGGTGAATTTATATGGATGTTTTAATTACATTTTTTTGTCCATGTTATCATTTAGCGAGTACTGGGCAGAGGGGAATTTTTTTAATTCCTGGACATCGTAATTTTCAGAAATATTATTTTTTAGAAATATTATCAAAAAAAATTATTTAGTAGATAAAATATTATCAAGAATATTGACTCAAATTTTTTGATTATATATTTAGTTGATTATTAAATATTGCTGAAGATATTCGGTGAATTTACAAAACTAACCCATCTCTCTTTCTCTCTCACACACACCAGTTATGGTGCCACTTGTTTTTGGCCCTGGTAGGTGATCATAAGCTCATAAATATAAAACAAAATCCTCTTATATTTCACTCTCACACGCCCTAGTCCTTTTTTGAGCAAAGCAAAGCAAAAGAGTGAAATTTCAGAGAAAAACTAAAAAAAAAAAAAGAATAGGAAGAACCCAAAACCCCCCAATCTTCGTGGAAACCTTTTTTTCTTCGAAACCTAAATGCTTCCCCAATTCGATTTCTAAGGTTTCAGTTTCTCTCTCTCAAACTTGGATAGTGAACGGTGAACCTCAGCTTCTAGTTTAGTGAGTGTGGCAATTTTTTTCTTCCGAATCAGTACATCTTCGAACACCCATTTGGACGAGACACAGTAATTTTGTTGGAAAAAATTTAGAAATATTCGCACGGATGGGAATCCGAAAATACCATCCACTTACGTAGTGTTTGGTTGAGAGGGTTTTCAAAGTTTCTTATGCAAATGAAGGAAGAAATCCAGAAATGACTTGTTTAGTTGAATAGATTCAGTCTAAATACCTAGGTATCCTATTTGTATTGCTTTTTCCATTTGCTGGTGGAATGATTCACTGTTGAGAAAGATTTGTTGGAGGTGATTTTTATATGAAAACCAGCTAAATGACTCTGTAGAGAAATTGTTGGAAACCATTATACCCTCTCAACAAGGAAACTTGTAGCAACAGTTACCTCTCTTGCCAAAGCATCCTCGGTTCTTGCTCTCTTCTTATCCCTTTTTGCAACAGAAATAGACACAGGAGGCTTGTAGCACACGACTTCTTGGGTGGCAGACTCCGTCATTGGAGCATTCTAACTTTGAAGTCTTTGGATTCAATTATATTATTTTGGCTAATTTAACTCTGGAATTGGATGTTTCTTGTTTCTGCACTGCACTGTTAAAATATGAACAATACCTTGCAAACTAAAATTACAATGAGCAAAAAGAGGCCTCAAAAAGACAAAATCTCAAACATAAATTTTCGTATGTTTGAGATTTTGTAATACCAAACATACCGTAAAAAATAATAATTAAAATCAGGGTTATTTTCGTAATACCAACTTGTTTTCCCATCTATATTTTACCTTCAACCAACCATAGATTTCATAAAAGCTACCTAATTTCTCCAGTAAAATTTTTTCCCACCAAACAATTTTTTTCATATTTTCCTACCTATCTCACTTTATCTCACTTTCCAACCATTTCTCTATCAATTACATTTCACTAGTATTCAAAAAATTTCTCCTCAACCAAACGCCCCCTTAATGATATTCTAACTTGACAAATGGGAATCTTGGGAATCTGATTTTTTCAGGAAAATTTTCACAATTCTTATATCAAATGTGGATAAATAGAATTTTCAATGTCAGTTTTCTCAATAATCTAAAATTTATTTTTCTATCAAACATTCCCTTCTATCTATGGGCTCTAATTTATAAATTATATGAACTATTGAATAAAAGTGGATCAACGGATATTATTAGGTGTAATTTTTCTTATTCTTATACCAAGGAAAGTTGAAGTATGATTATTTTACACATAAGTAACTTAAAATAAAAAAAAAAAGTCTTAAAAAAAAAAAAATACAATCAAATAAATCTTTTATTCTTTGTCATCATAAAAATCTCACGTTTGGATCGATATCAGAATCCCGAGCCAACCTGTTTCTGAAGAAATCATATAATTCCAGGTCACCTCTTGTGAAATTATCCAAGTCTTTGGACTTGTGTAATCTCAACTAGGAACATTTTGAAATGTTGAAGAGTTTAGGGGACAATGTTTTAGAAAACGGTGTTGTGCATATTATTGATTACACGGTGAATCCCGATATTGAACTGCTTCTTGTTAAATTCTTTCATATGTTAGTTGTTGATTCAACTTACATGTAATGACACACATGAAAAATGAACGACTTATATTAAGTGTAAGATTTACATAGGCATAAATTGATCATTTTCCCTTCTCTGGTCTCTTTCTCTATATATATTATAATAGAGATACAAATTAATTTTAATTGTCCAAATGTATATAAATAATCAAAATTGATTTTATTTATCATAACCAAAATCGTCACAGTACAGGAGTCGAAATAAAATTAACAAATCATCATCAATCCATTCTTATATATTTAATTATAGTTTATTGTTTTTATAGTAATTAAATTGCCTAGTGCACTCTAATTTTTTTATTTTAACAAAATCATATATCTTTCTTAATTCATTTTTTTCTTTTAAATATTAAATTTAAATTATTTTGAATTAATTATGATTATTTTATTTGATTTTAAATATTTTTAACATGTTCTTTTATATTATACTTAAGTGAATTATGCATATCTTATTTATAATTTTAAACTTTTTCCTTAAAAGTTTCTCCTTTTACCTTATTTTTTATATTTTACATGAATTTAAATATATCCCCTATAACATATTGGATATTTTTCTAGTTTGATTTAATTTTGCATGCACATCTTGAGAGGTTAAAATATGAAAGCACTAGCTGATGCACTCTTTGAGAATGAGAGTTATCATAGAAGCTAGGGATTCGAAAATCACATGATAGGAAGAAAGAAGTTATGTTTATAACTTATTTTTGAATACAATGATGTACTGGAATTTGAACCTATGACTTCATGCAAATTACCCAAATTCTTTACTATTAGACCAATCCTAGGGACTTGAAGTTATGTTTATTACTTATATGCATTATTTCTGTCAAATGCTAGTATTTATACAAATGTATATTCACGAGGTGATTTGGACCTATCTCACGTGGGATATAAGACCTAACACATAAATGGTCCAAAAGGCCTAACAACCAAGACTTAAAGGCTAAGGAAACATATCTATCATGCATTGACGTCATCCCGTAGGCATATAACCACGGTATCCGCAGCTCAGAGCTATACGGTCTCTCTAACAACCAATAGCTAAGGGGCAAACACATGGTTCTAGCTACACCTAGAAGGTATAGCACACAAATAGGCACCCTGCACATAGGATAGCCTACAACAGCCGTTTTTGCCTACCAATGAGGTTAAATGTCGTTATACTAAGGCGTCATAAGTAGGACAACCAACTATTATATAAAAGAGGTTTGAGGCCTAGGTATGATCATCTAATCCATATTGGCTAAAGCTCATTCATCCCATACTAACTTAAGTGTTAGAGTGTCTTGCAAGTACCTGCACCTTTGTCTTAGCTAAACAATACCATCTAACACCAGATTTTCTATCCGGCAGAAGGATCCCGATGTCTCGCCATATCCATTATAGCAAAGACCCAATTAGGTATTGGACCAGGTTCAACCATATGTGAACTAGCCGAATATCTATTGGACTGATCATGAGAGTTCCAACACTAACTAACTAACCACCTTATAACTACTTTGAAACTACCTTTTATTATCACATACATTTTTTAACAACCCAATTAGCACACTAAGTGACCAAATGACTCTGTAACAGTCAATATAATTAATAAATTATAATCGTTATATGTAAGTATGATCAACTACTAATAATTTCCATAGGCGTAAGTTCATCCTCCCTATCTCTCTCTATATAAAATATAATGAGAGATAAAAAAATTAATTTTAATTATTCAAATTTATATAAATAATCAAAATTGATTTTACTTGTTATGAACAAAGTTGCAACAACAAAGGAACGGAAATAAAATTTAAAAGTGATCATCAATCCATTCTTATATATTAAATTAGAGTTTACTGTTTTTATAGCAATCAAAACTTTTAGTGCACTCTTTTAAAAAATTATAGATATCATTTTTAATTTTTTTTCTAAATTTTAAATTAAATTACTTAATTAATTATTATTTTATATAATTTAGATCTTTATTTTTAACCTATACTTTTATATTATACTTAAATGAATTATGCATATATTATTTATAATTTTAAACTTTTCTTTTAAATATTTTTCCTTTTACCTTATTTATCATATTTTACACGAACTTAAATATATATACCCTTACATTTGCTAGTTTGATTTAATTCTGCACATGAAGAGGTAAAGCGAGTAATTCACCCCACCTTCAACATGCCTTGAAATGATCAACCTTATTTTTGAAAGTGGGTTGATAATTTGAACCCATCCCGCCCAGCCAACCCGCCAATATATTAGAAAAGTAATTTTTTTTTAAAATTCATAGTCCCTATAAATGTAAAATGTATCAAATGAAGACAAAAGAGGTGTAAAAAAGATTGTTAATTATTTTTTAAAAAAAGTTAAAAAAACCAATCCAACGGATCAACGTGCCACGCTTGAATCCGTTTTGATCTGCCCTAAAGCGGGGCAGTTCAAATGGGTTGACGGGTTGAAAATCCCAACCCAAACTACCATTTATGATGAGTTAAACAGGTTGGACCCTTGTCATCTGTAGAGGTTAAAAAATGAAAGCACCAATTGAGAACGAGAGTTAGCAGGAGCTAGGGATTAGAAAGTCACGCGATAGGAGTACTCTTCATGCAAAGTCTTTTAACCAAAGAAGAGTTCTTCCCTGCTACTTGGGCCACCTTTTGTGGTGTTCCTCGTTATAGCTACTAGGCTTGTATCAACAATGCTTTTTAAGAATTACCTACAAACAAATAACTTTTGTTTTTT